AAAATAGTTTATTTCACGATTAATTAGCTGAATTTTTTTTTTTTTTTTTTCAGTTTAAAAAGTTTTATAATAAATATAAAAGGAACACAAAATTTTTATATGAATCAATTCTTTAAAAAAAAAAAATTTTTGAAATATTTTATTTTAAATATATATAATAAAATTTGTTTCTATTTTTGTGCATCATTTATTTTAAAAAGTAATAGTAAATGTATTTTTTTTTTTTTGATAAAAAAAAAATAAAAGGGCATGCTAATATTTATACAGAATGAGTATAAAAAGTAAAATAGATATGAGTTTAGATGAACTCATAGAAAAAGAAAACATAAAAGTTAATTTGAAATCTTCAAATGAAAAAAAGACTGTAAATAAATTTATAGAAAAAAATACAGGTATTAATAATAAAAAAAAATACATATATACATCTATATATATATATGTTTACATTAAAAAAATGAAGAAATATATTTGTTACATATCTAATATTTAATTTTTTAAAATTTTATAAATATAGGTCAGAAGTATTTACATAGTATAATTATATCTAATGTTAACAGCAAAAATTTAGAATTATATAAAAAAGAATTTAGCAAATTTGGGAAAATATATAATATATTTCACGATAATGATAAAAAAATTACGTAAGTTATATAATGCATAAATAATAATACTTATTTTTTTTTTTTTACATCATTTTATAAATAATTTTATTTATTTTTTTTTTAATAATTATGTAGGTATGTAAAATATGATAATAAAAATTCATGTGATAATGCTATAAGTACTATGAATAATAAAACATTAGATGGGGATACAATTACAATTGTTTTGGTATTTATTTAATTAAAAAAAAAAAAAATAAAATAAAATAATATATCATTTTAGAAAAAAGATTAATATAAAAATTAATAAAAAAATATATGTAAATTTTTTTTTTTTTTTTTTAAATATAGGGTAAAAAGATATTGGATAAAAAGAATGGAAAGAATATGAATCAAAATAATAATATTATTAATAATAATATAAATAATAATAAAATAATTCCACCTTATAAAGTCCCTATCTATAATCCTAATACATATCCATATTATGTAAATAATTATACCCCTTATAATAATATGCCATACCCAAATACATACCAAAATAATTTTTTTGAAAAAAATATTACACCTTATAATAATAACAATAAAAATATTTATGGTAAAAAGAAATTACACATATTTAAATATTTTTATCTTTTTTTTTTTTTTTTTTTTTTTTTTTTTATATATATCATATAAATACATTTATTATTTTGTAAAATATATAATAATATTTCAATTTTTTTTTTTTAATATATTTTACTTTATTATAGAAACACACAAAAATAATACCATAATAGTAACAAATGTTCCCACTTATTTAAACGCTGAAGATATTTTTTCAGCTTTTCAAGAAACTGGAAAAATTGTTGATGTACAAATACTCATGAATGAAAAAGTAAAACAAATATTTATTAGTTTTTTATTTTTTATTTTTTTTTTTATAATATTTATTTAATATATTGTTAATATCTATATAATTTATATTTTCATATGAAAGTGTGTATATAGTTCCTTAAAAAAACCATTTTTTTTTTTTTTTTTTTTTTTTTTAATTCATTCAATTTTTTTTTTTTTTTTTTTTAAAACAGAGAAAATTAACAGGAATTGTAAGCATCGAATATGAAAAAAATGAAGCAGCATCTGATGCAGTACGAATGTATGATGGTGGTTTTTTAAATGATAACAGAATTAGAGTGTTTTTAGATTGTCGTTAAATATCCATTATTTTTTTTTTTTTAAAACATTATTATAAAAATAATTAAGAGAATTTAATAAAAAGTAATTTAAAATTTATGATCTTATTAATGAAAAAAACATGAATAAATATATTTATGCATGTATTTTACTTTTTTATTATATGCATAAATTTATTAAGATATATATATATAAATATATATATATATATATTATATTTTTATTTTATCTGCAGCTATTCTTTTTTAAATTAAAATAAGTTAAAATAAAAAAAAAAAAAATTATAAATAAATGAATAACAATACACAAAATGATTAGTAAAATTACACAAACTTTTTGTGATAAATTATTGAAGTAAAATTTTAATTACCTTTTTTTTTTTTTTTTTTTTTCTACTATTTCTTAATATTCTGCCTAAATTAGAAAAATAAAAATACTTAGATTAATTATTTATGTATAATTTTTTTTTTTTTATTTTGGTTTATCGTGCTTATATTGATTTTTGATCTGTTGTATATATTTTTTTTTTTCTTTTTTTCTTTTATTATTATTATTATTAATTAAGGCATATATATTTATTAGAGATAAATTAAAAATTAAATTTTTATTTCTAATAATTTTGATAGGATAGAAACATTTATATATATATATATATATTATTTCATTAAGTTAAAACATCTTTTAATTAAAATATAAGAAATTGATTTTACTTATGCAATTTAAAAATATATATATATATATATATATATATATATATATATATATTTTTTTCAATAATTAAATAATGAAAAGTGATAGTGTATTTTTATATTAGTGAAGTTTTTTTTTTTTTTTTTTTTTTTTTTTTTTTTTTTTTCTTATATATTTAAATTCCCTAATAATAACTACATTATTCTTAAAATTATAAATTACATAATAAATATTACTTTTTACTTAATATTTTTTTTTTTAAATATTATTATTTTGTTATTATTATTTTTTTTTTTTTTTTTTTNTTTTTTTTTTTTTTTTTTTTTTTTATTATATTTTATGCCATTTCTTTTATTATAATTTTTCTTTGAAACAATACTATTTATGCTATGTTCATACATCTATAAGTTTTAAAATTATATTTTTTTTTTAAATGCATTCTTATTCTTTTTTCATAATTTTTTTTTTTTTTTTTTTTTTGTTTATATGTCTTTTATGCCGTTAATAAGATTTTAGTTATTTTATTATTTCCTCTAAAAAAAAAAAATATAAAGAATTACTATGTTTTTCATAAATTATTCTATTTTTTTTTTTTTTTTATAAAAATAAAAAATTAATATATATGCATACGTTTATATTTCAATAGAGTGTATTTAATATAAAGAATTGTAGACAGTTATTTTTGTATTTTTATTTCATTTTTATTTTCCTTTTTTTTTAATATGGATGAATTAAAAGAAATTATATATGAATTGAAAAAACTAAAAAAAAATTTAAGAAATAAAGTTGTAAATATAAATTACTATGAATTTATAAATAATAATTATTATATTGAAAAAAAAATTATTTATAATTTATATCAAATAATAAAGAGCTATTATTATTTACTAACTTTTTTTAGTAAAACAAAAAAGAAAAAGAAAAAAGAAAAAGAAAAAAAAAGAAATTATAAAGACAAGTATAACAAAAAAAAAAATGATATAAATGAAGAAACTATTTTAAAAAAATTACAAAAAAAAAAAATATTACAAAATAGATATACAAAAAAAATAAAAGATTTTCTTAAAACAAATAAATCAATTAATATATTCAAGGATTATATAGAAAAAAATTTTTTAATAAAAAATTATAACAGTAATAATAATAAAAAAAAAAATAGAATAATAATAAACATAGAAACAAATATTTATTTTAATAATTTCGTTACACACATAATAAATTTTCTATATTTGATTTTGCAAAATAACATTAATCACGAAAATTTCAAAAATATTTATTCATCAAATGAATTAAGAATTAATGTTCATAAATTTGATGAGAATTCGGACTGTTCTTATAATATAAATAATGAAGAATCAATTCAAAGTAATGAATTTGTAAATATAATAAACATAAAAAATAAAAAAATAGAAGATATTAATACTACATTTAATGAGGAAAACTCAAAGGAAAATAATAAATTATTAAAAGATTATATTTTTTGTGAAGAAAATATTTTAAAAAAAGATAACTTGAAAATAGGAAATACCTTCAATGAAGAAAACATATCTGATGGTTCAAATATAACAGAACATTTGGATAAAAAAAAAGAAAAAGAAGATGATCATATGAAAAATGAAAACTATTTTTTTTTTCATTTATATAAAAAAAATATGTACCTTATAAATAAAGATATAGAATCTTATTATTGTTATAATTCTTTTATTATCAGAAATATTGACTCAAATTTATTATACATAATTGATAATGATATGAATCTGTTGAAAATATTGTTTTATTTTGACGTAGTAAATCTTTTTGTTATTTATTTATATATGAAAACATGTAAAAATGAAGAAATGCGTAAATACATATCTATTTTATTAATTATAACTATAAAATTTAAAAAAACTTTTAAATTATCTTCTAATACTTTAATTGAAAATAAAAATATTCCTATCCTTTTTTATATTTTTTCAAACATTTTGAAGAAAAATATATTTAAAATAAATAATAGAAATAATGAAAACAATTTAACAATTACTATTAATAATAATACATCAAATAATTCCTTATATAAATTAAATTCAAATAAAAAAAATAATTTATATTTTTTAATAAATTTAAATGAACTTTATATCACTAAAACTACAAATGATATAAAAAATATGAATGGAATAAAAAAAAAAAAAAATACTTTTTTATTTTCTTACAAAAATAGTGAATATTATACTAGTAAAGAATCACTAATTTTAGTAAATAATCATAATAATATTATTAAAAAAAAAAAAATAAACAAAATAAATATAAATGATATAATAAAAGATAAGATCGAAAAAAATGACTATTATTATTCTTTTATTAAAGATGAAAATGAAATCGATTCAGTAAATCTTACTTTAAGTATCAATAATACGAAAAATGAAAATATACTTTTTCATAAAAGTTACATAACAGAGCATATTTATAATCTTTTTTTAAATAAATATAATTTAAAGCTTGAAAAAAATATTATTTCAAATCAATTAAAAAAAGAAGAAAATAACATATCCTTATTTGATAACTACAAAAAGATATTTCATAATTTTTTTTTTTATTAAAAATCTTTAATAATATTTTTCTGTATTTTTTTTTTTTAAATATATACATTGCCATGGTATATATATATATATATATTTTTTTTTATCGGGTCATAAATTAATTTTTGAAAATAAATTTTGCAACAAATGGAAAAAAAAAAAAAAAAAAAAAAAACTATTAATAAGAGTTAAAATACACATTTTTTTTTTAATAATTGTTTTTCTTAATAACAATAAGAATACTTTTTATAAATTATTCTTTATGTATACTTTACCTTTTTTCTTATATGAATAACATAAAAATGATTTATTAGATAACATTTAGTGCATAACAAAATTATCATTTTTTTTCGGATTAAAAAAAATATTTTCTTTTTATTTATAAATGATAATATTATTTTGTTTTATTTTTCAATAATTAACTTTTTTGATTTATTTTTCCTTTTTTTATAATAAAAATTTATTATTATTATTATATTTTTTTGCACTTTTTTTTTTTCTTTACTATTTTTATATATTATTTAAAATAAATAGTTCCTAAATAAGAGGATACGAAATAAAATGTATGCCGTAAAAAATTTTAAAATGTTGCATGTTATTTGTTATAATTTATCTCTCTTTTTTTTTTTTTAAATAAATTTATAATTTAAATTATAAATATATTTATAAATAATAAAATTTATTGAATAACAATTCTTTTACTTTATTCTTAAAAAAGTATAATCTTATACTACAGGAGAAAAAAAAAATAAAAAAAAAAAAAAATACAACACATTGTCTTTTTTTTTTATTAAAATATATATATATATATTCATTACTATATAAATTTTTAATATTTATCATACTTGTTTATCTCCCTTCTTTTTTATTTTTATACTGTGTTATTTATAAAAAAAAATTGTAACAAAAAAACCACTTTAGAATTTTTTTTTTTTTTTTTTAAATTTAGAATTCTTTTAATCTTTTAAAAATATCCTATTATGAGATACATATTTCAACCCTTTTTCTTTCATAATTAAATTTTAAAATGATAAAAATTTATCTTTTAATATTTTTGTTAATTCTTTTTTCATCCTTAAGTTATTTATCAGAATCAAGTAACCCAAAATCATTTGAGAAAAAACCAGAAGATATTAATGAAAACGCTACAATATGTTCAGATATAATTATATATCTAAATATTACTGATAAATTGGCACCCCATAGTCTAAATGAATTCAAAAAAAAATGCGTTACCCATATAGTTAAAATAAAAAAAAATTTTAATCATAAGGATACAATAGGTTTTTCAAATGAATTTATATTAAGTCTTATACATATGAAATCTCTTCATGCAAGTGGGGATGAAACGGATGCTTATAATATAAAACATATTTTAAGTAAATTACAAGTTAACCTAAACGAAAATAGTATAAATGACAAAGTTAGAGATCTCATAAAATTTAATAAATTTTTATTAGATACATCTAATGTCAAAGATATAGAAGAATTTCTAGTATTAAGTAGTGATAAGGATGAATATATGAACGAATCAAAAAAAAATGTAATATCAACTGTAAAAAATTCCTTCAAACATCACATGCATTTTTTTATAAAAAGTGAAGAAAAAATATATTTAAAAAAAGAATTTCATGGTCAAAAATTCCTTGATATATATAAAGAATTTATTTGTGTGCATCATATTCATCTGTGTCAAATTTTTTATCAACAAGTTGAAATATATTTGAAGATGAAAGCCATTTTTTATGGATTAATAAATTATATTGAACAATATTCTCAACAATTGGTTAAAAGTGATTTATCAAGAATTTTAAGTTTGAATAAAAAAGAAGGTGATTTAGTTCAACTTTTAAGTAACTATGCGTTAGATGAAGAAGAATATGTTATTAAAAGAATGTTTATGACAAATAATACACCTATGTTAGAATTACATAAAAAAGATAATGAAAGAAATCAAAAGTCTGTTCCTGATAAGAAAGCAGTAAAAGTTATAGATCTAAAAAAAGAATTAGAAAGTTTAGAAAAGTATGAAGAATTAATAAACTTAACAAAAAGGTATATACGTTCAATTACAGATATTGATGCAGATATTTCATCTCTCGTTGATGAATTAGATCAATTGGATATAGAAAAATGTAATCCTTTCATATATATAAGAAGACAAAAAAAAAAAAAAAAAAATTTGTTATTCTCTATTACAAAAATAATATAATATTTTAATAATTTTGGGATGCATATATATATGTATATATGTGAAATTTTTTCAATAAATATATATATATATATATATATATATATATATATATATATATATATATATATATATATATATTTTTTTTTTTTTTTATAGTTTTGTTGGATTTAAATTTCCTTATAAATTATGGTTTTTTACGTATAACTGAAGAAAAATTAGGGATATTCGAGGATGATATTTTACTAACTTATATAAATTTATATAGAGCTAATAATATAATTTTTTTATATCTACTAAAAATAAAATATGAAAAATTCAAACGTTCTGAGCACCATGCATATGAATATCATGATCAAAACAAAATTCCAACAGTGAGTAATGAAACTATACAATCTCATTTAAGCCAAACAAACAAATATACAAATTTAAAAGAATTCGATAAAAATGTAATATTTCAACATTTTAAAAAGAGTTTGACTGAAGTCCTTGAAAATTTTGATGTGTCGTCATATGATGAATCAAAAATTGAGTATTTTTTTACCATGGCATTTAAAAATTGCAATATAAATCAAAGTGATAAAAAAAAAAAAAAAAAATGATCAACTATTTTAGAAATTCTATTTTTTCTTTAATTTTACGTTTACTCTTATAATTGTTCTCTCCTTTTTTTTTTCTTTTTTCTTCTTTTTAGATTATTCAAGAAACTCAGCGGAAATGTGGATAAGTTTTTTATATACATACGACAACTATGGATGTATGAAATAATTTATTCATTCTATTTATCTATTTTATATATTTATTTATTTATTTATTTATTTTTTTTTTTTTTTTTTTCTTAATATTGACAGGGTTTTTTTTTAATCCAAATAATACAATTAGCGAAATCCGTAAAGAACATTTTATTAGACACATTTTAGGTTAGTAAAAAAATTATTTATCCTTCATAATTCATTTTTTAAATTATCTATTTAATATATTATTATTTTTTTTTTTTTTTTTTTCTTATTCTAAATAAATTTTAAAAGTTAGCAGAAATTTTATTATGAGAAATAGTAACGCATTAATGCATTTAGATACCCAAGTGTCCAAGTTAATTGATTTTATATATTTAGTTTTAGGAATGGATTATTCCTCATATGTTTTAAATTTTTCTATACAAAGTAACTTCTTTAAATATGATTTTGAAACATTTAAATTTGATAATTTAAAAACGAAATTTAGCTATGATTGTATAGATTCCATTGCAAATAATTATTACTTTTTTAATGATGAAGAAAATGAAGTTTTTAATACTGATTATAATGATAATTTTTATATGAATCTTCCGAATATATATAGCCTTGCATACCAATTATTCAATGAGTTAGCTATTAATATTAATGTTATTACTAATACTCCTTTAAAAAAAAGATTAAAAAATAGATCAAGTTATGCTTATTTTACTATAATGAATATTCTTGGAAATAATAATGACATTTATTCTAAAAATATCCGTCATGTATTTGCTTCGTATGTTTTAGCTTTAGGTATGTATGAATGTACTTATATTAATCCATATATATATTAATCCATATATATGTATATATATATTAATCCATATATATATATATATATATTAATCCATATATATGTATATATATTAATCCATATATATATATATATATATATATATTTGTGTTATATTAATTTTTTTAAATTTAATTCCTATCAACACTTTTTATTATTCATATTATTTCATATTTTGTTATAATCTATTATTTACTTAATCATTTTTTTTTTTCATTCATATTCTTAATTTACTTTATTTTTAATTTATTCAAATTTTTTTTTTTTTTTTTTAAAGTATTTTTTATTGAATCACATATAGATATATCTAGATATAAACCAAAGGATCTTTTTTTTTTAAAGCAATCTTATCCTCTAATAGATCATAAATATGCTGACGATTTTAAAGTGGTGGAAGATAATTGCAAGTTATTATTTGATTTTATGAAAATTTATAAAAATTCAAAAGCATCTCATTTAAGCCATGTAGAAGAAGTTATGAAATTTTTAAACTTAATAATAATTGTTTTATGGGGTAAAGAAAGCAAGAAATCTCTTTATTATGATGATGATGTTAGCTTATATAAAAAATTACTAATTAGTTGTATTTTTAATGGAGGTAAAAAAAAAAAAAAAAAAAAAAAAAATAATTTTATATTTAAATATAATATATTTATTTAGTTTTATGTCTATATTTATTATTTGAATTTTATTTTTTAAATATATTTGAACTTTTCTAATTTTTGCTTTTCATTACTTTCCTATTGGTTGTAGGATTATCAATTCAGGATAAACTTATTGCAGATATCACAAAATCATGTGACATTTCTTTTTATGGAATAACTCCAAAAATATTAAAAGAAATAATTGAAATAAATTTAAGTACTAACAAGTGGAATCCTGTTATTATAGAAAAATTAGCACATTCATTTGTTTTAAATTGCAAATTACAAAGTATTATGTATGATTCTATGAATATAGAAAATGTTACATTAAAAAATTTTTCTAAATTAGTTATGGCACCAGAAATTTTAAGAACATACCACTGCTTTAAATTAGGAAGACAAGCTGCTAAATTATTAGAATCAATTATTTTAAAAAAAAAATTCGTTAGATTTCGAGTAAATGATGCTGTTGATGTATATGATTTTTTTTTTACGAAAAAAGTAATTTCCAATAATATTCACGAAGATTTTAAAGAATTTTTAAAAGATAAAGAAGAATATGAAAAAAGACAAATTGATACTATTTTACAACATAGTCCCCTGAGTCAAGAACAGACAAAAATTTTAATTGATAATTATGAATGCTATTGGTTTAATAATTTTGAAAATTTTAAAACATTATGGATGCATGTATCAAGTAAAATTATATTCATTTTTGATGAGAAAAAATATTTTCTTCTCTATCTTATATACTTAAATTTTTTTTTTTTTTTTTTTAGGTAAATTAGGAACAGGTACATATATAAAAAATTTTTTCTCTGAAATATGGTCTAATATGCGTTATTTGTTTAAAAAAAAAACAAACGTAAAAGATGTTGAATATTTCCCTGGTATAATTTATTATAAAATAAACCTTTTTAATTTTTATAATGTATTTTTTTTTTTTTTTTTTTTTTTTTTTATCCTTTAATAATAATTTTTTTTTTTTCTTTTTTTTTTTTTTTAATTTTTAGCAAGCATATCTGAAATAAATCTTCTAGATTATTATTCTCCATTAGTAGTTTCGGAAATTTTTTGTCAAGAACAAATGCAAATTCTCTTTTTGACTTTAAAAAATGATAAGCATGAAAATCGTAGTGAAATTCCTGATAAAATAAAAACAGCTTATTTTCAATGTAAATTTAATTATTATAGAGATAATAATAATGACCCTATTCATAGATTACAACCAAGTCATTTTATGGATGGAAATGTTTATGTGTTCAAACAACCATATTATCTAATTTACAATATCGATAAAACATATAAGAAAAAACTTGTAAGATTATTCTTAAGTGAAAAGACTTTAGAATATTTATTAATGGATAAGATTAGTATACCTGAATGTTTTGGACGTTGTACAACCAAAAATTTTAATAGGGTCATCCTTCAAAATCAGAGTCCAAAATCAAAAGAAATTGTAATTCAAAACCGATTAGTACCATCTAATATTCCTCGTAAAGTAAAAGCAAGAATGTATATATATGTTAATGAAGCTTATATTCATAATTTATATACAGATTATTTAACCAATGAAAAAATAAGTAAAATTGATATTGAAAACAACAGTGTTAAAGTTTGTATGGGAAAAAGTACATATTTAGTGAATTCTTTTCTTACAAGATCACATTTTGATTTATCTCATAAACCAGTTTATGATTTTAATCTTGATCATAACTTTTATATTTTTCTTAAAAAAAATGAACATTTAATAGCTGGAAATCCTAATCATGAATGTTTTATAAATTATGATTTATTAATTACCAATATAGGTAAAAGAAAAAAAAAAATTTTTTTTTTTTTTTGAACAGTGTATATGTGCATATATTTCAATATATATAAAATATTTCTAATTTTTTTTTTTTTTTTTTAGTGCTATGTTATTTCTTCTTACATAGTTCTTTATTATTCTACTATTTTGCAATTTTCACATTCTTTTTTTTTTTTTTTTTTTTTTTTTTTTTTGTAGATGTGGAGGATCCATACCGTGATATAAGCTCAGATTTGATAAAAAATTTATATATCTTAAAAAATAAATAGTTATTAAAAAACAAGGAATATAAAATTACATTTATATAAATATATATATATAAATGTATATATATATATATAAATGTATAAAATACTTTAAAAATATTTATCAAAATAAAAAATGAAATAATTTTTATTTCATACAAAAAAGAAACAAAAACTTTTTATATTCTTTAAAAAATGGAATTTTTTAAAAATGATTTTTCATTCTACTTAAAGTATCAATTTTTCTATTTAAAATTTCTATTTTACTATCCTATAAAATTGTAAAAATTTTATAAATTCAAGAAAATTAGAAAAATTATAAATTTTTTTTCTATTTTTTCCTTTCAATTTTTTTTAAAGTAAAAAAATTTTTATTGTTTTCTTATATATATACACATATATATATATATATTATAGTTATATTTTTTTGTATAAATTTTTTTTTTGGCCCTATATCATTTAATATATATATACATTTTTTTTTATATATTTAACGTTCCTTCTATCCTTACTTTAATTTTTAACAGTTTTTCTAAATTAAAAATTTTATCTTTCAATATTTTAATTATTTCATCATTATTTAAAAAATCAGAATTCTATTTATAAAAAAAAAATAAAATAAAAAAATTATATTTTATTTCCATTAATTATAAAATAATTTAACAAAAAATATTTTTTTTATTTTATATATTGAAATTATAATTTTTTTTTTAAATACCATTTCATTCAATATATCATTTTCTTTATTTAAAGGTAAATTTTCTTTTTCACTAATTGCTTTTTCTTTTTCTTCGTGTGAGATATTTAGATTTTCATCTTTCGTTTCATTTTGAAATTTATTTAGTTGATTTTTAAAAGTGTGTAAAACTTTTTCTACACCCATATATTTGCAATTAACAATTTCCTCAACACCTTTTTTATCAATTTTAAAACCTAATCTTTTAAATACCTTTTCATTTAAAGTATTCCAATTATATTTTTTTTGATTTATTGAATGAGCTTTACTATAATTATGTAATTCAACAAATTTTGGTAAGCAAACATTTACCAATTCAGCCATCAATACTCCGTCTGAAAAATCTCTGTGTATATTTTTTATTTTACGTGATAAAGTAAAGCTATTTAACCATTCATATAAATCATTCAGTTCTTCTTCTTTTATTTTAGACACAGTTTTTATTAAGTCATTTTTATTCATTTTTGCTTAGAATCATATTCAGGAATTAATAGAAAAGAAATAAAAAAAAATAAATCAATGCTTATATATCTTGTAGAATAACATAAAAAATATTCAATAAATAAAGTAAACTTCAAAACTTCACTAGAATTTTCACTATATAAAAAAAAAAAAAAAAAAAAAATTCATATTTTTGTAAATATTAGTATTCTTCATTTTTTTTGAAATTTTACTTATAAAAAACAAGAAAAAAAAAAAAATATAAAAGTAATCCTAAGTATTATTATATAACGCTTTTCATAGAATTGTAGTTTTTCTTTACAAAATAAAACATATTTTACAATGTTCCAAATATAATTATCATTATGTATTTTAAAATATTTAAAATTTTTGTAAAAATTTTTAATTTAAAAAAATTTCATTTTGAATATAATATATATATTAGAATAAGGACCTTTTTTATTCCATTAATAAAAAAAAAAGAAAACTTTTCTTTAAATTATAATTTGAATCTCTTTTTTTTTTTTTTTTTAAAGTATAATGAGATACAAGAAATTCTTCCTATTGTTTTAATTCGGAAAAAAATAAAAATTTTGCAATAGGAATTTTTATTTTAAAAATATTTTTTTTTTACACTATTATAAATTAACATTTACATTTGCAAATTTGGCAATAAATTAAATAACAACATTTTTATAAAATAATAATAGAGTAAGATGTTTTAAATTAAATTAACTTTATATATCTTTTTAAATGAATATATTTTTTTAAATAAGAAAAAGAGAAACAATTATAAAATTATCATAATTACACATAAATATTTATCATGTAAGATTAATATAAACCTTTTTACTTTACACTCATTGACTCTATTTTTAATAGGTATTTATATATGGAAATATTACAAAAAAAAAAAAAAAAAAAAAAAAAAAAATATATATATATATATATATATAACAAAATTCTTAAAAAAAAAAAAAACAGATAAATAATAAAAAAGGATATTTTATCATATATATACAAAATATAAAAGAAATAGACAAACAATGAAAAAGACTAACAAGTTTAATATTTTATAATAATAATTTTTACATTAATACCTTTTTTTTTTACACAAATTTATGTCTAATAAAAGTAACAATGTATATATTCAATTATTTAAATATTTATTAATGTACATTTCCAAAAATAGGAAAAATACATATAATAATATTTTAGAAATATTAGAAAGTTGAGTTTTATCCTATCATTATATAAATAATTATATATTTATATTATTTAATATTTACTCATTTTTTTAGCTTTTTTCTATTTATTTATTTTATATTTTTATTTTTTATTATTTTTTTTTTTTTTTTTTATGTAATCTATAATTATTAAAAATGTTATTGTTATTAATTAAAATTTTAAATAAGGATATATATTATGTTATATACACATTGAATATTCTTTTTTTTGTCTAGGTTCCTTATACCTTCTGTATGGTAAGACAGCACCTGCAGAAGTGCATGCACCACAAGGAGCTGAAGAAGCTGGGTAAACGAAACATTTAGAATTATCATATCTATTATCTACTGCTGCCTCTTTTATTTTTTGAATATAATCTTTAGCTATTTCAATCTCTTTATTTTTTTCAGATATTAATTCCATTTTTTCCCTTTTTTTCGTTTCAAATTGACGTAATATTTCTTGTTGTGCTTCATAGGCATTTTCTATAGTATCATTCCATTCACCCAATTTTTTGTTGTTTTGAAAAATTCTCTGCTCTTTTAAAGCATGACTAAATAAAACATTTTTTTCATATTCAGACATTGCTGCTTCTAAAGCTTTTCCTTGCTCTTCTTGGGAAACCTTCATATTTTGCATCCATTTAGCTTGATCTTCTATATAAGTATCTGATATTTTTTTTAAAAATATTATCACTAAAGCTTTCATTTCTTCTAAAGTAAGCATTATTTCTCCACAACATTTCAATTTATGTACTAACTTTTTACTAGATAAATAATTTTCAACATGGTTCAAATCTAATCTTCCTATTAAAAAAATATTTAGTAAAAATTATTAAAATAGAAAAATATAATAAAAGAACATTTTTTTTATATATTTATATATTTACATATATAACGTAATTGTCATTGCATTGTTTGTAATACATTTTTTAAATTTTATATAATAAATAAAAAAAAAAAAATAAAACTTCCAATTTACAAAATATAAACTAAATTTTGAATTAAATTAATATAAATATACATTTTCATTTTTAAATTTGAATTAATTAAATCTATCATAAAATATGATTATATTTGGAAAGGTATATATCATATGTATATTTTATGTAAAATTAATAAAGTATGTAAATAATTCTTTAAAAAAACAAAGTACCATTTTCATCAACAAATCTACAAACATATTCCATAAAACCACATTGCATTAAAAAATGCCTTAGTATCATTTCTACTGTTTTATATGGTAATTTTCCTTGTTTGTCTATATCGTGACATGCAAAAACCATATCTAATTGTTGTTCAAGCCCAGGATAGCTTGCATAAATATTCTGTCTTTCTATTTCTTCTTCTTTTGATGCTACTTGTCCCATTTTATCAAATGATGGATTAAGAAGTAATTTAAATATAATATTAAAAAGAAAAATTTTTTATATAAGAAAAATAAAATAATAAATAAGAATAAAAAAAAAAAGAAAAGAAATAAGTCAATTTATTTTATTTTTTTTTTTATTTCATATAGTATTCTATAGAATTAACAAGAAATTAACAAATTAGTTAAGACTTACAATTGAAAACATAATAAATATTAATTATTAGTTTCTTACATTTAAATAAAAGTTATATTATCAAAAATCATTACAACAAAAAGTAAAAGGATAAAAGAATTTTGTAAAGAACATAAAATAATAATTGTGTAGACAGTAAATAATTTACATTTGCTAAACCAACGAAATCAAAAATTATGTTTTCTTTTTATAAGTAATTATATATATATATTTATATAAATATATAAACAAGAAATAAGATCATGTGCATAAATACATTACTTTTTTTTTTTTTTTTTTTTTTTTTTTTTTTTTTTTTTAGTTCTACTTTATTTTAACCAACACTAAAAGAAATAGAAAATAAAGAAACTAAAAATATACCTTAAATTTTGCAAATATATAATTTATAATAAGATTTTCATTAACAATTAAAAAATAACTTTTTAAGGTTCATAATATATTTTTGAGAAACATAATTATTTCGCACTTCCCAGCATTTAAAAAAAAAAAAAAAAAACCTTACAAGGCCATGTATTATAGCCATTTATATGATGTAAATGGTATTTTTTACTATTTTCACATAATTTTTTTCCCTTTTATGCATAAAAAATGAAATAATAAAATAACACAAAAATAATATTTTTTAAGTAATATAAACTAAATATAAAATAAGAACTCGTGTGCTCTAATTTTTCTGGTGAAAATCTTTTTCAGAATACATGACCATTCACAAATTTCCATTTTGGCTATTTTTTTATGAAGAATATTTTAGCATTTTTAATTGCTTGTTCATTTATAATTACATTAAATTTTATTATAAAAAAGTAAATCAAAAACTAAATTTATTTTACAAAATGTGTGTATTTTTTTTTTTTTTTTTTTTTATTTATATTATTTATAAGTTAAATAAGACTTAAATTTTATGCATTATCTATAATATATTTTATATTTTTCATAAATAAAAATGTAAACAGTGATGATAAAAATCAAGAAGAGAAAACTTATAGTATATAACAAAAATCTCAGTTACACATTTCTTTTACTTTCTTTTTAAAGTTTACTCCACTACTAATATTGTTTTAACATTGTTTCTCAAAAATAATAGCACATGATTATTTGTATATTTACAAATATCTCATATATATATATATCAGTGGAAAAATTGTTACACTATAAAAAGATAAAAATTACTTAATAGTTTTTTGTTATATATTCTCTCAATTCTTTTTCACGAAATTACAACTTTCTAATTTTTTTTTTTTTTTTTATTCAAGCAAAAACTGTTACATTTTTAAATATACTATTAAAATTTTAATAATCATTCTTTTTTTAGTTTTAATAATTAAAAAAAATGTAAAATACTACCGCTTAAGTAAATTATTATAAAATTTGTTATTTATTTTATCTTAGCCTTACATCAAATTATTATTTTCTTTTGTTCTAAAATTTTTTTTTTATTCATATATTTTTTAATACATTAGAAGTGGGATAAAATTAGCTTATTGTTTTTTTTTTTTTTTTTTTTTTTTTTTTTTTTTTTTTTTTGCAGTTGCTTAAAATTTTTCAAAATGAAAAAATTGATATTAAAAAAAAAAAAATAAATGCATAACATTTTAAATATTCTATATAATTACTTAATCTTGAAAAAAAAAAAAAAAAAGGTAAAATGTACAACTATTAAGTTTATATTAATGTATTTTATCGTTTAAAGGCACAAAAAAAAAAAAAAAAAATATAATTAGTACATTTAATATGCACTTTTATATTCTATTTGGTTATTCAAAAGTAAATATTATTTATGAATTATCTGACTGACAATCTATGTTTTTATTAATATAAATATTGTAACCTTCACCACAAGGCATACTTGAAAATATTTCCTCCATTGATGAAAAATACTTTTTGTTTAAGGATACTGATGGTATATCAATATCCTTATTTAAAATGGATAACAAAACATAATTGAAAGCATTTGTTCTTTTGAAATAATCATAATATATATAATTATTTACATTGAAAAAATGTATTTTAACACCCTTCTCAAACAATAGTTTACATTCATAAGGATTTAAATAATCCAATTCATAAGTGAATATTAAATTAGCATTTAAAGCACTTAATGTAAAAATGTTTTTTTTTAAAATATTTTTGTCAATACTTAAATTCGGATAAACAATAATAATTTTAACCCCAAGTCTATTTGTTATAACATGTATATGTTCAGGAATGTTCATATCTATACTGAATATAGAAACTCGTTCTTTAAAACTATCGTTGCTTATATGATATTCTTCTAAACTATTTTTAATTCTATTTTGAAGACAATTCTCCTTTGGTAAAAATATTATTATGAAAACTTGATTTTTTAATAACATTTTTAGAAGAGGAAGTACTTGCAACACATTTTCAGCAAATATGGCTATATATTTTAACATTTTATTATGGTTTATAACACTCAAGCATAAATAAGATTCATATAACGAACGAAATGAAGCACATAATGAATAATCATTTTTTAATTCATTACATGGATATTCAATAATATCATGATAAGGTGCTATTATTTCATCATTCTTAATTTTACTATTAACCGTAAATATTCCTATTACATTTTTCCCCTTTATTATATTATCCACATTTTCTCCTACATTTATGACTTTACCAATATATATATTTCCGATTAAATATTTTAATTTTATATTATTATTTTCCTCACATTCATCTAGGTTCTTTTTTTCTATGTCATTATTATTATAACCATTTTTCTTTACATTATTGGGAAAAAAAATGGAAGAGCAAAAAGAGATACATTTTACCTGAATACAAATATTTAATTCATTCAATTTCATAGTTTATAGGTAAAAAAAAAAATAAAAAAAGACATTTATTTAATTTATTCATAAAATACCCTATGTTTTGTATTAATTGTTATATACAAGAACAAAAAAAAAAAAAAAAAAAAAAAATTATAAAATAATAACATATATTATTATTAAAAAGAGTGATTTTAAAAATTCTTTTATCCTTTTTAATTCCTTTAGTAATATATTTAATCTAAAAAATATTTTTTTTTTAAATATTTTTACTGAAATTATTACAATTCATAAATATATTGACATTAATAAAATAAGACGAAAAAATCTTCTTAATATTTTAGATCAAAAAGGTTAAATTTTATACACTACTTAATTACATTTAAAGAATAAATAAATAAAAAACATTGATCTTCTTTTTTAAAATTAAAAAATATTTTTATGAACTATTATATGTACCCATATTTATTATTCCTTTTTAATAGGTATATTTTCATAATTATTACAATCATAATCTCTTAATATTTTTAATAATTTACTTTTCTCCTCTAATAATTTAATTTCTCTTATATTTATATTCTGCTCTCTTTTATTTCTAATTTTATATTGTAAATCTATTAAATATGTTCCTAAACTAATAGTTAATGTCATCAACAAAACTAAAGGAATACCACATGAAAATAATTTATATCTTTTATCAATTACTTCTAATCTGTATTTTGTTCTTATAAATTTTTTTTTTACATAATTTATTAATAATTTCATTTTACTTATTTATATATATATATATTTTTTTTTTTTTGAAAAAACTCATTTTATATATACTAACCAAATGATTAAATTTCAATTTAAATAGATATTTAATGTATTCTTATATACTAATATATCAAAAAAAATATCTACAATATTAATTCATTTTTAAGGTAAAAACAAAAAACATTATTAAAAATACTAAGATAAAAATGTAATGTTTTTAAAAAATAAGTACCTGTTCTAAATTTGTCAATAAATAAAACAGAAAAAATAAGCATATAAAGAATTTTTTTTTTTTTTTTTTTTTTTTTTTTTTTTTTTTTTACATTAATATATAAAGAGGTAAGATATTTAAAAAAAAATTATAATACTTAAACATTTTTATTTAATTTATTAACCAATTTAAAAAGTATTATATAAAATTCATTAAAAAAAATTAGTTTAAAAAAATAAAATATTACGTTTATAACACAAATATTTCATAAAAATATATATTTATATATTTTTAAATTTTTTTAATAAGTTGTAAGATTATATTTATTATTTATACGTATGTACAAAATATTACTTTATATTTTTTAATGATTGTATTTATGTCATAATGTAAATCACTTTATATTCTTTTTGTTATTTTATCCCATTATTTTTTAAAATGATATTATTTACATTTATTTTTCATTTTATGTCTTTTTTATATTTATGCTTCTCATACACAATTAATAAAAAATATGTCAATAAACTAAAGAATATATCAGATATAAAAATACATGGCTATTTTAAGAATTCTTTATGTTATAATTCGTGCAGAAAAAATAAGTTGTTTTTTATATATTCAAGTAATTTGATAGATAAATAAATAAATAAAAGGATAATATATATTTTTAAGATTTTAATATAATTTATTTTTATATTTCTACAACTATTTAAATATAGATAAATATTTAGTAAAAAAAAATTTTCAAACTTACAAAAAACCTAGGGTTAAAATTACAACTTACCTATTTCGAGGTTGTTTTTTTTTTTTTTTTTTTTTAATTAATTTCAGAGAAAAATACTTTAATAAAAAAGAAAACGAAAAATTAATGATAATTTTTATTTTGCATATATATTTTTTTCATAGAGGTTAATGTAGGCTCTCTATTTCCTGGTTTTAAAACAATTTTTAATAAAAAGTATATTTAAAAAATGAAAAAAAAAAAAAAAGAAAATTAAATAAATAAATATTTCTATAAATTTGAAATTTCTTCATTTATATGTTTTATTTGTTTTTTTCTTTTTTTATAACATTATCTGTGAAGATTTTTATTTGAACCTCTGTATAGTTCTCATAAGGATATAATAATAAGAAATATAAAGACTATAAATTTAATACAAAAGTAACATAAGTATATTCTTTAATTTAAATTTATATACATTATTTATATACCTTAATTTATAGGGATAATGTAGTCAAGAATATTTTAATATTCTCTGCGTCATGTTTTACAATTTTCCTTATTTCTAAACTTCTTATATTATTAAGAAATTTTTTTCAAAACCAATATAAAATGGTATAATTTAAAAAAATAAAGGAAAATAAAATAAAATGAAATAGTATTTTTTAAAATTTATATATAATCTTTTATATGTAATTTTTTTAAATTTAGATAAGTGAACAAGAAATACAACTTTTAGGAAAATATGAAAATCCCCACATTGAATTTAATGACTGAAATTTTCTTAAAATGTTTCATTAATATATTTTTATTTTTTTTATGTAATTTTTTTAATTATAATTGTATTATAAAAAAAAAAAAATAAAATATAAACAGCACTTTGTGCATAGAAAATATTCTTTTAAAAAAATTTTTTTAGAATCACAAAACTGTGCACTCTACATTTTTGTGAAAAATAACAACTTTCTTTTTTTAATAAAAACAAAAAATTAAATAAGCAAAAATATATCAATTTTAAAATGTTATAATTTTTTTTTAACAAAAAAAAAAATATTTAAATGTATGTACAGCCAATATTCTTACAATACATGTATATTATTTTATTGTTATATATGGTTATTAAGGTTTATGACCTTCTTAAATTTATTTTTGCATTTTATAATTAAGACTTTTTTTTTTTTTTTTTTTCATTAGTATATTAATGTTTTTCAAATAACTTATTATTATACTGTTATAGAAATTATATTTTTTTTTTTTGTTATTATCCTTTATAAAAAATATAAAAAAGCCCTTAATGAATATTATTTTGATAAACAAGGTCTTACTATTTCATTCTATTCACTTTTTAGTAAAAAATATATTTTTTTCTTTTTTTTTTTTTTTTTTTATTATTCTTCATAATAAAACTTTTCTTTATGTAAAAAATTGGTATTAAAAAATTAAGAAAATTTTAATAAAATAAATTAGTATCTTTATAACAAGAGATAATTTTTATGGAAAACAAGATATATTTCAAAATGTGCAATAATGGGCAAATAAGTATAGATGAAATAAAAGAAAAAATAAAAAATACGAAATTGCACGTTCTAACTTTTGCAACACATGAACAAGGTTATTTTAAAACACTTAAAGAAAGTTGCAAAAACCTAAACATAAATTTAAAGGTATTAGGGATGGGAGAGAAATGGAAAGGATTTATATGGAAATTAATAAAAGTAAAAGAATATTTAAATTTGTGTGATGATAATGATCTAATTCTTTTTGTTGATGGTTTTGATACTTTTTTTGTTCAACCAGCCAATGTTATTATTGAAAGATATATTATAAATTATGACAATTTTTTTGTATGTACAAGTGAAAGTACTTTATCAACTAATTCTCGTTTCTTAAAATTTATAGAAAAAATGCATTTAATTTTCCATGATAGCATCTTTAAAAATAATGACAATACTGATTGGGACTCCTTAAATATAAAAAAAAAATATGAAAATTTTACCTTTTTTTATAATAATTTAAATTTACTTAATTCAGGAGGATGGATAAGTAATGTTTTTTTAGCAAAAAAAATTTTACAATACATACCTTCTTTTATTGATAATGATCAAGTGTTTTTAACAAACTTATATTTAGATTCCAATTATATCTTAAAATTGAAAGGAAAAATAAGTTCAAGGGACAGCAAAAAAATACTAGAATGTGATATTCTAAAAAATATTGAATACTACAATAAAATTATTATTGACAATCATAATATTATATTTCATTTATTTAGAGGAAAAAATGATTTAATCCTACTAAATTATGCAGACTGTATAAAATATTTTCCTTATAAACCTTTATTAAATATATATTACTTAAATGATGAAAAAAAAGAAAAAATTATTTATGAAAATTCATTGAAACCGAAAAAAAAAAAAAAAAATTTTATAAATACTATTATAAACTATATAAAAGAATTGTTCATAAAAAATAAAAAAGACATTAATTGTGATAATAATGATGATGATTTAAAAAAAATTATGTTAGTAATTATGTTAGTAAAAGAAAAATATAAAAATAAAAATGAATGGAGAAAACAAAAATCATTTTTAGATAATGTTTACATTGATAATATAAGAAAAATTGGGCAAATTGAAAAAACATTTAATTACTCTGTTGTTGATGTATATACGTGCTCATCTCCTTGTATTCTTCATATACACTGTTTAAGAAATGTTGATGATATAATTCTTAACATTGGATTAAAAAATATATATAATTCTAAATGGTATGGACACATATGGTATTTATTTTATAGCTTAAAAGATACTTTGAATTTTAATTATTTTAGTCTTTTATTTTCTACAGTAGTTGCATTTGTTACTTTTATCTTAATTTACCTTAAATATCTTTTAAATTTTTTAATATATATAGATACTAATTTCTATATAAATAATATTAAAAAAATAACTTACGTAAACAAAACCATGTTGTTACTAAATGATATTGAAATTTCTTGTTTTCTATCTTTTATATTATCATTTCTATTTTGGATTTTTTATATTTTTAATAAAGCTATAATATAGTAAGAATATATATATATATATATATATATATATATATATCTTAGTACAAATTTTAACATTTTTTTTTTTTTTTTTTTTTAAGATTAAGGATATTGCAGTTATAAATATATTAATCCCCTTTT